AACTGATCCATTTCCTCCTCAAAGAAACCTTTGATTTTCCTTTGAAACTCCTACCCAATCCTGGCGTAAGCTCAAAGGCAACAGTCTTTTTCCATCTTATGATTCTGAAGCACTCATTGTACTCTCTCCCCATAAGCTTTGAACAGTAACACCATTATCCAGCAAGGACCCTCTACAGTCTTGAATCTTTCAATAAATAGAATTTGATTCTTGATAAGCTGCTGTTAAAGGCTCAGTTACTTTCCTACTTTTTCAAAGCCCTGCACTATTTACACTGGACTGCTGTAATAAAACACATTATTTCATATAGGGCTGCACTTACGCAGCTATTAATGAAATCCCCAGTTATTTTTCTTCGTTGCCTGGGTTATCAGAGAGTATCAGAGGACTGGGGTAATACAATTCACTGCAAAAAGCATCAAGTAAGAAGCCACATTCATTATGTGAACTGCAGGTTTGCAGTTCTACAAAGTCTTAGTATAAACAACAAGTTTGGGGTTTTTTTTAATTTTAGGATTTTATTTCCCTAAGATTGTTTTATCAGATCTACAGTAGCAATCAAGATTTAATTAACAGCATCACCCTGTATTAATTACCATATCAATATGCCTTTCTCATTTCATATCCAAACTTATTTCATATCCAAGTTGTTTAGTGTCTTGCAGAGGTACCAGCTCAAGTCAGCTCTAGCTACAGCGCACAACATAGAGATTCCTGCGCAAGTTAAAAGCATTTTTGGAAATTGAATGCAAACAGTTGCTAAGTAAATTTTCAGTATCTTCCCACAAGCTTCATTTTAAAAATATCACGTATTTAAGATACTGTAATTATTTTAAATATAGAACTGCGTATTATACCAGCTGTCTCATTTAGCTTGATGCAGAACTCTCTGTGAAAGCTAAATAATAGATATACTGCTAGTGTCAATCATGTTTAGTGAACTCAATCCCTCTGAGGGTCTGAAAAGTTAACAAAAACGTTAAAAAAAGGGAAACATATCCATCTGATTCTATTTTAGGGAGCACTTAACAGCTCAATTATACTGTCACTTCTCTAGTAAAGGAATGGACAACATGCACCTTGGTTTCAAGAGCCCAAACCACTGTCAGCTTGTTAGTGTAAAAAACAGTAACAGCAGCCTTACAGCTAAGTAACATTAGATCAAGCGAATTTCAGATTGAACAACCAATTGCTAGCTTTTGATGGCTTGTACTACCTATACTAAACAAACAAAAAAATCTGCCAGAAAACCTTATGTCCGGTATTTTGGAGAGGACTCTAAATAGTTTGCTTCATTTTCTCATATCCTTACCAAACACAGAAGTATAAGCAGAAGGAAAATTTAAAATCCATGAAGTTTCCTCCTTTCTTCTGAAAACTGGAGACCAAATGAGCTTTAAACCACTCACAGATGACTGACTGGATGTATTACATAAACCCCTGCAAATGTAAAACAGCATCTAGAAACTGAAGAGTATTTGCTACCAATCGCTCCAGAGTGGCACCTGTATTGTTCTAACAAGGTACTGTCACACTCTGTGAAATATATTTTAACACGCAGCAAGTGCAGCATATTGTGACTCCTCTGCAGCTTTGCTTCCATTACCACATGTGCATCACTGAGGTTTGTTTAGCTGCCCTTTTTCCCCCCGTTCTTCAAACCGTTCTACTAATGGCTATCATCAGACCCACTAAAGAAAATAAACTGCTATGTCCTAACACATAATGTATGTATGGATATACATACATACATATGTAAAAGCAACAAAGTGGCTTCTCTTCTTCACCAATTATTTCCCCCGAATCAAATGTCTGGTGTCCAGCATCCATCTGGTTAAAACAACACATCCAGAAAAATCACAATGTCTTGAATGTATTTAAAGTAATTTCACAAATTCTTCTCCCTGTTAACTGACATTAAATGTTCAGCATGTTACTTTTGCAAATGCCAAGTATTCTTACAATTTCCATTCATTATGTATTTCATTTCACAGTATCTTCCAAAGCATACAAAGAGTAGAAGCGATAAAAACACAAGTACCCATGCAGTTTACCTTTTAAAAATACACGATGGAAATTTCTCACCCACATAAATCATGTGTTCATAAAAAAAACTTCAAACAAACAAAACACAACTGTGTCCCTTTTCAAGGTAAGAATAGTAGCAATACAGGCTCAGATGAAATTCTCTCATACAGTAACAAGATCAGTGTACACTGTTCTACATGGAGAAAATAGCTGAAAGGGCTATTCTAAAGTACTTATTTATTCCAAAGTAAGAATTCCCTTTTCAAGTTAGTTTAACCATGAAAACATGAGTATTTTATTCTCATATAGTAAAGACCAATGCACACTAGTCTCACTTCATCTCTTAACAGATAATTAAAAACCCCTGCTATTTCAGGGAATTCAATAGTCAGGCTAACTCTGTTTTGACTAAAGTTTACAGTAAACTCAGTAACTAACTGCGTGCTGGGAAAATATGTCCACATAACAAAATATGTTTGATATAATTTCTTTTATAAAAATATAATTTTCTTTATTTTAATCTATCAGCTCCCCAAGAGTTTAAATGTTGCTTCAAGCATATCAAAAAAACAAGTTCCTATTTAGAGCTAGTAACATCTCTAAGCAGATAGTCAATTCCAAGAGCTCATTTTATAACTCCAGGTATGACAGCAAGAAAATTGCCTGAATATTAAAATGTGTATCATATTAAGCATTTTTCCACAAATAAAGTCACTGTAATTCACATATTCTGTCAAATATAATCAGATAAATGTGTAGTTATTGGATAATTAACTCCCATAGATTTAATTGTGACATTGGGAACATGATACTTACCTTTCATGACTTGGCAACTGTTGCCTGGACTGAATAGCTTTGATTAATTCAACAAAAAACTCTGGTTTTACAATTGGTCGGCCACAAACCAAAGCACATATAGTCTGAAAAGACAGAAAATATCTATTTACTGTATGGAAAAAGTTCAGCTAGAATATGGTTCAAAGGACGTTAGATTTTTAAGATCTCAGACGTGGAAAAAGTCACACAAACAAATAGAACAATACTGAATTTTGCTACTGAAAAACAGTTGCTTCTAATAGCCTAGCTTTTAATTACTGTCTTGACCAAAGTTATGAAAATGTACAATGCAACTGATGAAAATCAGTAACAGTCTTCAAAACTGGCTTTTTTCATTTTCTTTCCCTCCAACCTCCCACCAATATGCACCTCTTTCTAAACTTGGGAAAGGAAGAGTTGACTTCATTGCACTGTAGGGGAAAATCTTGAGCAAGGCTAGAATTTAATTTGCATTTGTGGGAAAACTGCAAAGCAACGCCATCAATATGCAAAAGCTCGACATACCTTAACAGTAACTTTTACTGATATCATTACAAGGTGAGTACACTCTTTTGTCCATTCATTCACTACAAGACCTCCAAGCTGCTGGATGGCTTGATTTAAAGCAGTTTTCTGAGCAACATCCAAACATGAGGAGCAGACAACCAAAGGTTCATACTCTACTCTGAAAAGAACAAGTGAAAGAGAATTGCTTTAGTTATGTCAGCCAATCATTATGATGAACAGAGCTGACTGAACTATCTTGTTTGTGTCTCAGGGAAATCTGGGGAGAAAAAAAAAAAAAAAAAGGACCCATGACTCTTTACCTAGATCAAAACTGTGCTTTAAAATTTCCTGAGAAAGTAAACACTGATTTTTACTCAGAAAAATTAATAACATTTTGACTCGATGTCTGAAATATTTCTAAAGACTTTTGGATCTTTCACAGATATCACATAGAGTTAGTGCTTCAAGAATACTGCAAGGTCAGGGAATATCAGAAGAAATTGAGCGTGCGCTTCCAAAGGCAAAAGTGTGCTCAACAGAACAGTCCACAAACAGATTACTATTTAAAAAATATAAATGTCATAGAATGCAAGTTCAAGTAACTTTTTTCACCTAACACTGCCGTTACCCTTGACCTTCAGCCTATTTATATTTGTAGATCTTCCATATGGAGTTACAGTGTATCAAATCCATGATTTGATTTGGTTTAGTCTACAAAGCAGAAAGAAATTTAAATAATCTTTCTGGTACAACAGTCACAATGTATCTGGTCTCACGGCATGATTCCTGTACCACACGTCAGGTATGTTTACCTAAAATATCAAAAATACTTTATTGTAATCAGTGGACGAGACTGACGTCTCTTCTATCAAATAACACCAGCAGCAGTGACAAAACAGAGTCAAATTTTAAGGAACAAAGCCAACCTCTGGTTGCTTTAATGCTGATTTGAACGGTCATTAGAATTTGTTCTACTTACCTGCCACTTTACTTCAAGGAGTGCTTCATATATTCAAACAGATAGCACTGACTACCATGTTAAATTTGAAAAATTAGCAAGGTGGGTTCACTAAAGAGAATGCAGGCATACATCAAAGCAACAAGCATTCAATGGCTAGCACTGCACAAACCATCCTCCAGCTATTTCGTTCTTTTTTTGTTACATTATCAACAACTAACCAGCTCTCTCCCTACCCTAAACCTTCCTCCCTTCTTTAGAACCACTTATGGTTTAGGATTTTGTTTTTTGCCTAAGACAGCCTGAAAACACTCACTGTACATGATACAACATCTTCTAATATGCCAATGCTTTACTATGAACAACTTTAATCTCTTAGTTTCAAAATAAATAGTATTATAAAAGTATGTAATGGAAAACTATTGCAGAAGCAGGTATGGAACACAGGCAAAACACTACTTCCTTTGCTTTCTAAAAACTCATCATTGCTGTATCACTTGCCAAGTTGTATGATGTGCAAAAATACTCCTTTCAAAACTGGCAGTTTTCTACTTGATATTTTATAATCAAAGCACTTACCTAAACTTGCTCTCAAAGACTCCGAAGTTGATTCTGTCACCAGACTGCACAGACACTGAAGCGCCATTGAGTTTTGATCCATTAACAAAGGTACCATACTTAGATGTATCTCTTACTGTTAATATAGGGACTGAGAGAGAGTGGCTCTGAAAATAAACATAAATAAACCATTATAGTTTATCAGAATTAGGTAGTTTCACCAGAAACAGGTTACTACCATTATGGATCAAAGCAGTAGGTAAATTAAGAAAAAGCCCACAAAATACCATCCTAAATAAAGATTTTTGACAATGAGGCTGGCCTCATTGTCATTATGTGTAATTATGTGTATTTATTCATCTATGTGTAATTATTCATCTTCTGGTTTACACTGTGAAGGAATGAGAGAAAAGGTACCTATTTTTAGCTTCAGAACTTTTGTGCTTCTTACATTGAGCCTTTCTGGAGGCTGTGCAAGGCAATCATTCACCAACCCAAAGCCTCTGCTAGGGCGACTTAGCAAGGCTCTGAGATTTATTATTGATGCTTTTACCTACCATTCAGCCCTGGCATAGGTGCCCAAGTCACTTTCCCTCACCTCCTTCCATTAGCACTGCTAGTCTTCCACAAGCTGCAGGGCATGGTGACACCAGCATGTCTTGAGAAGAGGTTAGACACTGTCGTATCTCCCAAATGGTTCACAAGCCAATGAGAACACTGTCAGCCCGTTTTTATGAAATTTTGCCATGTAGTTATACACTATTTGCAGTCTTAGAAGGACAAATAAATTTAATGTATTTCATTTCAAATTCTATATAAGGTTACATAAATGAAATTCCTGATGACTGGCTTCAAAATGTCTGTAAACACTGCAACACAAGTGATAGTAAATTGCTGCTTGCTAATTCTCCTTGGGACATTTTTATTTTCGGTCCCCTAAGCAAATACAGAATTCATTATGTGAAATGAAACACAAAGTAAGCCTGCAGTAAGACAGCTGAAGCACTTTCCAGGACCAAGACCTAAAACTTGTCTATGTAATGAAATTTAATTGCATAGGTTTCCTGCTATGATTATTTTAATACAAATTCCTAGTGAATCTTCACTCTGGGATAAAAGAAATGCTCAAATGGGAGCCTGGACCAATAGAATTATGACACGAAATTTCTCAATACAGGCAAGCAACCCAGAGGGGGAAAAAAAAAAAAGTTAGGACTAAGAAAAGACAGGTGGTCAATGGTTCTGCTCTATGCATAAAACACCAGTGAGAGCAAACTGAGTGTATGTATGGTCATGTGAATTATCCACATAGCATATTGATAATGCAGTAAAATACTGGCTACTTACAGGGGTTGTTTCAGGACGACTTACTGTCAGAACTGCATGACTTCGACTGATGGACTGATCACCCTGAATTAAAATCGTGCAGTTTCTGCGTCCAACAACATATTCTGTACCACTTAAAAGCCGATATGGCTCTCCTGAAAATAAACAAGAGACAGAAAAATACCAATTTACAAAAAACTCCAAAATGCTCAAAGCACTTAGGAAACGTTCAAGAAGTTTGTAGTATATCTGAAACTCAACTCTGTCATGCACCATTTATTACGCTGACTAGAATTATGCATTTACGGACAAAGTCTCTTTCTCCCCCTCTTACTTGCTTTGGCCATTATAAAAGGGTACATTTTTATGATTAACAAAGCAGTTACAAAAGTGGCAGCACACTTTTTTCAAGGACAATGCATTTTTACTAATATTTTGCTGCTTATCTTTTCTCTCACATTACTTCTTGAGGATTAAGTGTTACACACAGAAGAGGGGAAAAAAAAAAGATTACTATGTAAGGTAGCTTTCCCAAAACACAAGTTTTAAGGGCACATAATTTTTTGAGGGTACATAATTTATTTACATAACTTATTAAGTGGTTCAGAGGAAAACATCCTAATGAATGTGGGAAGATCTGCAATGTAAATAAAACTGATACTTAGTAAGTTCAGTCTCTGACCTATGCTTTAGCTCACTTTTGGTATCTGTCATCTATCAAGCCACATGGTGGCTTTTCAGTGAATGGCCTGACTACATCCAAAAGGTGTGTGTTACCTACTGGTCAACAAAAGCAGAAGAGTTTCTTGATGAAAATGGATGAATAATTCCAGATTAAATTCTAGTTATCAACCCATGACAAATAACTCTCCAAATACGAACTGCATCCTGGATACAAGAATACCAATGCTTTGGCTCTTGCTCAAGTTCTCAGGCAGTAAGAGATAACTCAGTTCATTTCAATGGGATTAGGTACTGTTGCCACCAGAAGATAAAGCAAACATCCAAAATTCATTCCTCTTGAATTAGGAAATAAAGAGGAGATGCATTTGTGGTAGGACTGCTCGTTATACAGAAGAGAAAACCTTTAAGTCAAGAAGAAATGTGTGTATTATGTGATACCTATTATCAGAGTTATCAACATATCAGAGCTCCTACAGATAAGGAAAGTGATGAAGAAAGGTACAGTGGCAATTCAGTTTCAAAGCTCTGCATCTAAGAAACAACATGATTTAAATCCAACACCTGAAACAACATAATACTTAGACTCTGAAAGGAGAGACTCCTGAGGTTGACTTTGCATCTGAGCTCAATTCTTCAGGTATTTTAAAGCAGCACTCTGCGACCTGCTTCACTGGCTGCAACAGCACCTGAAGACATCCCAGATGTACAGAACAGCAAAACCAAAAGCCCTATTAAATTTAACGGGAGCTGTGCTCCGCAGTGCTCAGGGCTCAAGGAAAAACGGAGGCTCGGCCGCGGACGAGCGCCCGGAGCGACGAGGGCTCCCGTCACTTGTGCACGCCGGACCAACGCAGCGTTGCCCGGGGAGCACGGACAAGCACGCCCGCCGGCAGACCCCAGTGGAAG